TAATTTATTTATTACATTGCTTTTATATTACATGTATTATATGTAAATTTGCGTGGGCCATTCGAAGTGAATGGGTGAGTGGTATATTATATATGCTTGGTACGCAGGTTTACAATAAGTGACTTGTATGCCCTGACTAGGACAGAAAATACGGTCTACGAGCCGTGATATATTTTTGTTATTTAAATGCAGTGTGCGTACCGTCAAGTATTTTTTAAACTTAGTTTAATTAATTCTTGAATTTTAGATTACATAAGTCCTATTTCTAGTTTCTTAGTCTTTCAGGACGGGGTCGAAGACAAAGAATGATTTGAACATTGGAGGCTTCAAGATCAAGTCAAAGGGGCCATACTAGGATCACTATTTTACTTATATATGCATTTATTTATTTCTTTATATAAATGCGTGAGATTGGTTTACTTATGCTGTATGATTAGTTTAGTTCACTTAAATCAATCCAACATAGAGACCTTAGGTCCCAAAAGAATATTGAGTTAAAAATTGTCATTCCAAAATAACACTTATGAAAACTTCGAAAATCGATGAAGGGTTTTGTCAAAGTAAGGCATCATCTTTTTTCTTGGGGAAGTAAGGTATATGGGATATACATGTTAGTTTTGGTTACACTCAACAATATCAGTAAGGAGTCCTTGGATGTTGTGGCAAAATGGATAAGTCTTAAAACATTGAATGTTACTTATCAACCAAGAAGTAGTTTTGAACTATTAGCAATGGGATTGCTCACCTAAAATAATAAGTCTTTAAGACAAGTAGAAGCATGCTTAAATACTAATTGATTTTGAGGGTCTTGGAATCATTTTATTCTAGTACATGGGACAAATAACAATAATTTGAATAAAATGTTAATGAGTTATTGAAATTGCTAGTACGCTTACATTTCAAACTTGTTAAAGATTACGTGAATGGTTATTTATTGCATTTCTTTTCAATTGTAGTAATCATGTCTGCAAATAACAAAATCATGATATCAAAACTTCTGAACAAGTTAAAGGTCAATTTAAATTTGACCAACTTTCTTGAGTGGGAAAGCGAGTTCTAAGACATTATGAGGTACAAAGACTTAGAATATGTCTTGGACTTTCCCCTTCCAAGCTTCTACAGCAAGGATATGAACCCTAAATATCATGCAAGTTGGGCTTCTGATTGTGATAAGGTCACCGAGCTGATGGTGAACTCAATTCCAGTTGATTGGAAAAAGTTCCTCCCAATACTCGCCTGACATACTACTCACATGTCTTGAGGATGTTGTCAATGTGAGGGTCACAAAGAGTTTACATGGAAAATTTTGATGGCAATGCATATGCCAAAATTTTTCATGACCTCCTTAACCAAGTTGCTAATAAGTTAATGATGATAAATAGCCGCAAAGACGATAAATGCAAATTGGTAAAAAAAAAAAAAAAAAAAAAAAAAAAAAAAAAAAAAAAAAGACGTTTTACAATAAGGCGATAAGTAATCATTTTCTTTAATGACTTGAGTTGTTAATCTTATACCAATTTTGATAAGCCAACGCAAACTTAAATAAAACCAAAAAAATAATATAGAGTAAATATGAATTAAAATCTCTAATAACAAAAATGATATGACCTATATAGTAATATAGCTGAAACCAAAATGTCTCAAATCGAGATTGACCAAAATTTGTATTACACGACCCAAAAATCAAAACTAAAACAATTCTAGCCAAGAAATACACGACCCAAAAATCAAAACTAAAACAATTCTAGCCAAGAAATACACGACCCAAAAATCAAAACTAAAACAATTCTAGCCAAGAATGAGCTAATAATTAAAGTAAACCAACTGGAATTGTAACATAAATTGAATTGACTTGAACTGAGATCTTATGGAATCCATAATGACCTGATCCAAATTCTAATAAATCCGTTTTGACCTAAATAAATCAGATAAAATCAGGATTCGAGTTCATCTAAACTCGATATGACTTGACCTGAATTTGACTTGACCCAAATTTGATTTGTACCCGACTTTACTCGGACCCAACTTTGACCCAAATTGAAATAAACTCAACCCAATTTGATTTGGTTTGTTAGGTTAAAATGACCCGTCATTACCCGACCCAAACACTCTGACCCGTCGTGGGTCAACCCAAACTCCATCTGGGTACCTGATTTGACACCTCTAGTTGGAAGTTATTTGTGGTAGTATTGGTGTTGTAGTGGTGTTTTTGATTGATTGAGGGTTATTCTTAGTTGAGCAACCATGTTTGGGAAAAAGAGAAAGAGTACTAAGCAAACCTCCGGCCAATCTTCCCAACCTTAAGACACAACTCAGCCTCAACCACTTCCCCCACTCAAATTCTACAACCGAACCAAACACACGCCCATCTACAACAAAATGAAGAAGAGGAAGGTAAGACCATCCCGTCATTACTTGAAAGATGACATGGTTAAGTTAGGTGTTGATGATGATCTTTGGGTTCTTTTCCAAAACCTTAGGTTGGGTACATTCGTCACCTCATCTTTCCAAACCTATGATCATTGATTTCTTCTCTTCTTTTGAGAGTACCCCGGCTGGTGATAATGACTTCCAAATCTCTTTCCAAATTTTCAACCAAAGACACACACTCTCTCTGAGAATTCAACATAGCCCTTGACTTTAACCCGAATACCAATATTCTTTTTCCTATCCACCATAACATTGACGGATACAATGAATTTTATTGGTAGAGGGCCATTTTCGGAAAGCCCCGAGTTCTCTTCTAAATCCTCCTTTTCTAATGAAATCATTCATCCGGTTCTTAGAATCCTCCATAGGCTTCTTGGATATTCTATTTTTATTAAGCAAGATTTGGGCAAGCTTACTAGGGAGGAAATTATTTACTTGTGGATGGCTACTTGTGAGGAGTATGGGAGAAGGTTGAATCTCGGTTTCTTGTTTATGCAAACTTGTGTTTCGATCTCCAAAGGGAAGAAAACCGGAGAGGTGGGTTGTGGAGCTATGGTCACTAGATTGGCCGTAAAAGTTTGAGCAAGAGGAGCTCCTTAAATCTTGTACCCCGGTGAGTGGGGGTGATGATATGTTATTAAACTTGAAGCAGCTTAAGAATTTGGAATTCATTTCTACCACCCCGAATACCGAGGTTTTTCGGTGGCTTGTGCGTAAGCGTCATCATTGTTTCCTCCCATAGCCGACCCTCACTTCACTTGGTAGGAATGTGCAGAACATTTGAATAATGCCCCAGGATAATGGGCGAATGGATGTTGTGATGGGTTAAGGAGGAGGTGGAGGTGATGATGATGAGGAGGAGGAGGAGGAAAAAGAACAACAACAACAACAACAACAACAACAACAACAACAACAACAACAACAATGATAAGCCTTCTTATCATGGGTTGAGAGAAGCATTTTAGGGTGTGTTTTGATGCTTTATATGTACTTTTGTTAGCTTTTGTGAGTTTTGGGCTGTGATCTCACTTATGTGCAAAAGGCGGGATTTATGAGTATAAGTGAGTGAGTGAGCTCGGGAACCAATGAAGAGTTATGTAAGAAGGATGGACCTTGGCTCGTGATTTGAGAGTTGTGATGGAGCATGGAAGAGCAAGGAAGAAAGCTTGAGGAAAAGGTGAAGCAAAGCAAGAAGAAGAAGCAAGGAAAGAAGGCGAAAACAGCAGGAACCGCTGCCAGGGCCGCTGGCAGCTGGCCAGAGCCGCTGGCAGCGGGTATACCAGAGTGAGGGGCTGCCAGAGCAGCTGCCAGCGGGTCTAGAGCAGCTGGCAGCGGCTCTGGCAGAAATTCGGGCTGTTTTGGTTAATTTTCAGCAATTTGGCTTTGTTTTGGCTCGTGTTTTGGATATTATTTTATTATTATTATTGTGTTATGTTATTAAAATATATAAACATATAAATAGCTTAGTTTTAATTAAGTTTTAAAAAAAAGGAGGAGAATGAAGTTTTGAGAAAAAAAAGCTTTCTAGGGTTTTCTTGGAATTTTCAGAATTCTTTGTTTTGGAATTAGAATCCATGGAAGCTTGATCTTCCGGATTCTTGGTTAAAGATTGAAGATTTTAGCTACGAATTGTGAGATCTTTCTTCTCTTAATATCTATGGAATATATATTGTTCCTTGAATTAATTTCATGATTTGCTTTAATCAATTGCTAGGTTAGAATTATTGGATTCGCTTGCATCTAATTAATCTTTCCAAAGTAGCAACTTTAGGTTATTGATGCATGCTTTTGGTTGATAACTTGAAGAGGGAATAATATTATTGAAGAAATTAGACCGCTTGTGTTAATTTATTCAATCCTTGTTGATTTCTCCGTTTATTTTCTTCTTGTGGATAATTTAGAGCGCTTGTCTTGAATTGTGCATTGGAAAGGGTTAGGAAGGAGCGCTTTGCTATTTCTAACTATTTATGAGAATTTAGAATCTAGGAATTCTACAACAAGGTGTTCAATAGAGCTTGATTGAGGAGACTTCTATGATCAATTTGTATGTTCATTAGTGGATTTCGCATAACCAAGACCGTTCTTCTCATTGATTACCTATTCATTACGTTCGTTGTTCTTACTTAGTTCATTTATCATCATTGCTCGTGAAAACCCCCTCGTTACTTAGGTTACTACCGTCCTAGAGTATTTCCACTTAGGTTTCCAGTTATTAGTCCCTTTTTCCCTGTGGATTCGAACTCGACTTCCCTAACTACGTTTATTTGCAGTTAGCTTAGTTGTGATATTTTTGGTTGCATACGACTGAGGCACACCAAATTTTGGCGCCGTTGCCGGGGAACTTAGGCGTTACCGTTTAATTGTTTATCTTAGTAGAATTTATTTTAGGATTGTTCTTAGCTATTTTTTCTTTGTTTGTTCGCTAGGGTATGATAAGTACCCGTTCTGCTAACAAAGAAGTTTTGCAGTTTGATCCAGAAATTGAAAGAAATATTTCCAGGTTGCGAAGAGAGGCAAGAACAAACCCCAGTGAATCAACATACATCTTCAACATTCAAGAAGAGGAAGTGATGGCAGAAAATCGAACACTGAGAGAGCTAACAGCTCCTAACTTGAACCAACAGCCGTTGTGCATCGCATATCAGCAGTTGGAGGAAGGTGCTAATGTTGAGATCAAATCTGGTCTAATTCATCTATTGCCGGCATTCCATGGCATGAAGGGTGAAGATCCAAATAAACATCTGGCAGAATTTCATGTGGTATGTACTAGCATGAAACCGATTGGGATGACTGATGAGCAAATTCAGTTGAGAGCATTTCCTTTTTCTCTCAAAGATGCAGCGAAGGATTGGTTTTACTATCTTCCCCCAGGGAGCATAACAAATTGGGCAGGTTTGAAGAAGTGTTTCTTAGAGAAGTATTACCCAGCCACTATTTCTGCAAGCCTTAAGAAAGCTATCAGCAATGTGGATCAGAAGGAAGATGAGTCCTTGTATGAGTATTGGGAGAGATTCAAGAGATTGTGTGCTAGTTGTCCGTACCATGGGTATTCCGATCAAGACCTCATCCTATACTTCTATGGAGGTCTAACAGATGATGATTTGAGGATGGTGAATGCAGCAAGTGGTGGAGGGCTAGTGAATAAGACTCCAGGAGATGCAACTAGGCTGATTGCAGAGCTAGCAGAGAATTCTAGGCAGTTCAGTCAGAGAACTCCCACGCGCCGGGTGAATGCAGCAAATTCAAATACAACTGAGTTAGAGAGTCAAGTAGCTGATTTGACTTCTATGATGCGTGAGTTCATGGTGAACTCAAGGAATCCACAGCAACTGAATGCTTGTGGTTTATGCACCTCCACAGGACATCCCACTGATGCATGTCCTCAATTACAAGAGGAACAGAATGAGCAGGCCAATGCAATGGGTTTCCAAGGGCAAGGTCCTCAGAGAAGATATGATCCATATTCGAATACATACAATCCAGGATGGAGGGATCATCCAAATTTGAGATATGGGAATTCCCAGGGGAACCAACAACAACAGCAAAATGCTCAAGGCCAGCAGCAATATCAGCAATATAGGGCACCATTGGCCAAACCTCAAGGCCAAAGCTCAAATTCGAATGATATGTCAACTGATGAAATGATTAGATCACTAACTTCTAATGTTTCTACTATGCAGCAAAACATGGTGCAATTCCAGCAAGAGACCAAATCCAGTATTCAGAATTTGGAAAGTCAAGTGAGTCAAATTTCAACTGCAGTGAGCAGACTTGAAGCTAAGGATTCGGGAAAACTTCCATCTCAAACGGAGTTGAATCCTAAGCAACAAGCCAACGCCATTACATTGAGAAATGGCAAGGAGGTGAAAGAGACTGAAATTGCAACTAAGAGGGCTGAAGAGTTGATTGGAGCTGAGGAGAAGGAAGTGGAACATGAAGCTGTAGCAAATCCTCCCACTTTTCCATCTTATGAACCCACACCACCTTTTCCTGAAGCTTTGAAAGAAACGAAGAGGTATGAGAAGGACAAAGATATCTATGAAACATTCAGCAAGTGTGAGGTAAACATTCCCCTTTTGAATTTAATAAAGAGTGTTCCTCGATTCGCTAAATTTTTGAAAGAACTTTGTACTATTAAGAGGAAGCACAGGTTAGGAGGGAAGGAAAAAGTGAAAGTCAGTGCTCATGTTTCTGCAGTTTTCCAAAAGAAACTTCCTGAAAAATGCAGTGACCCTGGTATGTTTACTGTGCCAGTTACAATAGGGGACACCACTTTTCGTAGAGCAATGTTGGATTTGGGTGCATCAATTAATGTTATTCCATATTCACTGTTCAAAACTTTGGAACTTGGACCCTTACATGACACCGGGGTAGTGATTCAATTAGCTGATAGATCAAATGTTTATCCTAAGGGAGTAGTGGAAGATGTGCTTGTGAAAGTTGATGAACTAATTTTTCCTGCTGATTTTTATGTGCTTGATATGGAACATGATAGACAAGCAGTACCCATCTTGTTAGGAAGACCTTTCTTGAAAACTGCTAGGACTAAAATTGATGTTTTTACTGGTTCTTTGACTATGGAGTTTGATGGACAAGAAATTGTGTATAACATCTATGATTCCATGAAATACCCTGTTGACACTCATTCTTTGTGTTCCATTGATATCATTGATCCTATAGTGCAGGATGTCTTCAATGTTGAGGGCGAGGATGCGCTCCTCACTTCCATTTCTAATGATTTATCTGCTGATTGTTTGGATATTCCTTTGCCTAATAGTGTGCAGATGATGGTAGCAGAGTTGAATGGTCATTCCAAGCTTCCACTTAGACCACCAGGTTCGACACCTACCCCATTGACAGTGCCTACTGATAAACTCTTACCTTCTGTTTTGCAGGCACCCCAGGTGGAGCTAAAACCACTTCCTGATCATTTGAAATATGTGTTCCTTGGTCAGAACGATACTTTACCTGTTATAATTTCAAGCAAATTGACCAAGGAGCAAGAGGACAAGTTGGTGACAGTGCTGAAAGAGCACAAGTTAGCTATTGGATGGACCATTGCAGACATTAAGGGAATAAGTCCATCCACTTGCATGCATCGTATTCTGTTAGAAGATGATGCCAAACCTGTGAGGCAACCTCAGCGTCGCCTAAATCCTCCCATGATGGACGTGGTAAAGAAGGAGATCATCAAATTATTGCAAATAGGAATGATATTTCCTATATCTGATAGTAAATGGGTCAGTCCTACGCAGGTGGTTCCTAAGAAAAGTGGTGTGACTGTGGTAGAAAATCAACAGGGTGAAATGGTTCCTACTAGAGTTCAAAATGGTTGGCGAGTTTGCATTGATTATCGTAGGTTGAATGCAGTAACTAGGAAAGACCATTTCCCTTTACCTTTTATTGACCAAATGATTGAAAGACTTGCAGGGAAATCCTATTACTGTTTCCTTGATGGGTATTCTGGGTACTTTCAAGTGCCCATTGCACCTGAAGATCAGGAAAAGACAACTTTTACATGTCCTTTTGGCACATTTGCTTATCGCCGTATGCCTTTTGGCCTATGTAATGCACCTGCAACCTTTCAGAGATGCATGATGAGCATCTTTTCTGAGTTTGTTGAGCATTTCATGGAGGTATTTATGGATGATTTCACTGTGTATGGTGATTCTTTTGATAAATGCTTGCATCACTTATATATGGTCCTCAAAAGATGTATTGACTCTAACCTTGTCTTGAATTCTGAGAAATGTCATTTTATGGTCCAACAGGGCATTGTGTTAGGTCATGTAGTTTCTTCTAGAGGTATTGAGGTTGATAAGGCTAAGATTGACACTATTCAGTCTCTTCCTTATCCTACTAATGTGCGTGAAGTGCGTTCTTTTCTTGGCCATGCAGGTTTCTATCGTAGGTTCATTGAGGGATTCTCAAAGCTTGCAAATGCTATGTGCAAATTGCTGCAGAAAGATGTGAAATTCCACTTTGATGATGATTGCAAGAAGGCTTTCGACGAATTGAAGGCTAAGCTCATTTCTGCCCCTATCATTCAAGCCCCAGATTGGTCTCGACCATTTGAGATAATGTGTGATGCGAGTGATTATGCAGTTGGAGCTGTTTTAGGCCAGAAAGTAGGGAGGGCATCTCATGTGATCTATTATGCCTCAATGACCCTCAATTCAGCCCAACGAAACTACACTACCACAGAAAAAGAGTTGTTAGCTGTAGTATTTGCTCTAGAAAAGTTTCGATCTTATTTGCTTGGTACTAAAGTAATTGTTTTCACTGATCATGCAGCTCTTCGCCACTTGATGACGAAGAAAGAGGCCAAACCAAGACTAATAAGATGGATTCTGCTCTTATGTGAGTTTGAGTTAGAAATCAAGGACAAGATAGGCGCGGAAAATCTAGTTGCTGATCATTTGAGTCGTTTGACCCATATTGTTGATCAACCATCTTTCCAATATCAAATCCTAGGAGAATTTCCGGATGAATCTCTATTTGCTCTTAAGGATTTGCGCCCTTGGTTTGCTAACATTGTGAATTTTCTGGTTTCTCAACAGTTTCCTCCAGGTTTCACAAAGTCTCAAAAGGACAAGCTTCGAACTGATGCGAAGTACTATGCATGGGATGATCCATACTTGTGGAAGTTCTGCTCCGATCAAATCATTCGCAGATGCATTCCCGAAAATGAGGTGATCCCCATTCTCACCTTCTGTCATTCTCATGCTTGTGGAGGACACTTTGGAGCCAAACGCACAGCAAGGAAGGTTCTCGACTGTGGTTTTTACTGGCCAAGTTTGTTTCGAGATTCCTATGGATTTTGTAAATCCTGTGATAATTGCCAGAGAGTAGGTAACATTTCCCAGAAAAGTGAAATGCCCCAATCCTCTCTTCTATATTGTGAAATATTCGATGTTTGGGGTATAGATTTCATGGGACCATTCCCTATTTCTTACGGTTTTACTTATATACTTCTTGCTTGTGATTATGTGTCGAAGTGGGTGGAAGCAATACCCACTAGGACTGATGACTCTAAAGTGGTTTCAGGTTTTATCAAAGCTTACATATTTTCTAGGTTTGGAATCCCAAGGGCGTTGATAAGTGACCGTGGAACACACTTTTGCAACCGTACAGTGAGTGCTTTGTTGAGGAAGTACTCTGTTCACCACAAAATCTCCACGGCTTATCACCCACAAACCAATGGGCAAGCCGAGGTGTCCAATAGAGAGGTGAAGTCAATTCTGCAGAAAACGGTGAATCCGGATAGGAAGGATTGGAGTTTGAGGTTGGAGGATGCTCTATGGGCGTACCGCACCGCATACAAAACACCTATCGGGATGTCCCCTTACCGCCTTGTCTTCGGAAAACCGTGCCATCTTCCGGTTGAGCTTGAGCATAAAGCATATTGGGCGGTTAAGTCATTCAACATGCAAATGGATGAAGCAGGTGAACATCGGAAATTGCAACTCCAAGAACTAGAGGAGATCCGGCTTGAGTCCTATGAGAATGCAGATATTTATAAAGCAAAGACCAAGCTATGGCATGATCGAATGATCACGCGGAAGGAGTTTAAAGTCGGTGACAAAGTACTCCTATATCAATCCCGACTTAGATTATTTCCGGGAAAACTTCGGTCCCGTTGGGAGGGCCCTTTTCAAGTGGTGAATGTATATCCGCATGGAGCAGTTGAAATTCAAAGCCTCGAGACCGATAAGATTTTCAAAGTCAATGGCCAAAGGCTCAAACCCTACTTCGAGGGTTTCAAAACCGAGAACGTGGAGTGCATCGATCTCTACGAGCCATCAATGGAGTAGCGAAGTGGGATGAGCCGCGTCGAGCCAACGACGTAAAACAAAGGCGCTAATCGGGAGGCAACCCGATCGAAAACTCTTCCCCATTACTTTTCGTAGTTTAGTTTTTATTTTTTTTCGTGTGATGTGAAGAGTGTTTTTATTGTTTTTGTGTAGGTGGAGGCCTTGGGAGCAATTTTTATGCGCGAAACGCAGCAAAAACAGAGCAAAACAGAGACAAGGGGGGCCTTCCCTGCAGAAGCCGCTGGCAGCTGCTCTGCAGCCGCTACCAGCGGGTCTTCTTGCAGCCCAAACCCCTTTGTTTCTGTCCCAGCCGCTGGTAGCTGCTCCTGAGCCGCTGCCAGCGGGCCCCCCCTCTACGTTTTGTTAATTTCAAAAAAAAAAAAAAAAAAAAAAAAAAAAAAAAAAAAAAAAAAAAAAAAATTCACCAAAATCTGCTTGAGCCGCTGGCAGCGGGCCTCAAGCCGCTACCAGCGGTTCCTACAGCTCTCCCCGATTTTTTTTTTTCCCCTTATTTCCCCTTTTCCAACTCCAACTTCATTATCCCCCAATTCACATAAACCCTTACTCCTTTTCTTCTCCTTCTCTCTACTCATTCATTCCCCTACTCCAATTATACCAAATTCCTACCAATTTCCCTTTCCCAAATCTTCATCTTTCATCAAATTCTCAATTCCCATCACAATTTCACCTAAGGTTTACCATTTTTCTTGATTTCAATTGTGAAATTGAGTTGGTTGTGTGGAATTGCAAGCTTAATTTATTTTCATTGAAGGTGAAGGTGAAGGTGCAAGTGAACATATTCCTTTTTATAGCCATGGGTAGAGACAACAAGAGGTCTAAAGAATCATCTCCATCAAGACCTTCAAGGGGCAAGAAGCAAGGGGCTTCTTCAAGTCAAGGGGAGGCACCTCCATTGCCTCAAGGGGATGGTTTCATGGGTGTTAGGTTGCATTCCAAGGAGAAGGGCGTATGGACTAAGCTTCAACAACCCCGACGAACGGTGCAATGCACCAAGTTCTTTGACTTAGAAGCTCTACAAGAGCTAGAGATGGAGGAAGGAGTGCGGCTCTTGCTAAGGAACGTGGGTCTCGAGAATTTCATGACCAAATGCGCTCCCACCTATGTCAGGTATACATATGAATTCCTTTCAACGCTTACTAAAGGACGTGAACAAATATCCTTTAATTTGAACAATAGGAATTATGTGATGTCTTATGATGATTTGCGTATGGCATTTGGTTGGGATGCACCCCCATTGGTGAACCGTTGGGGTGATCATAGCTCATACTCGTCCCGAGTATTTTGGAGGGCTATAACTGGTTGTGAGGTTGATCCTCACGGTGATCATAGCTTCAAAATCACCCACCCATGCCTTAGACTGGTGCATAGGTTTATATCTTCCACTATTCTATGCCAAGGGGAGGCCACTAAGGTCCCCAAAGTCACATTGTCGTATTTGTGGGCGATGACCCCTGAGGGTGTCGGTACGCCCAATTGGGTGGAGATTTTTGTTGATAGTTGTGTAAAGGTGAAGTCCAACTCCAGTGGCCATATTAGTATGGGTGGCATGGTCTCTTTGCTAGCCTGTTATTTGAATGTTCCACCCCCTGAGGATCTTGTGCCAGTAGACTCGACATACTTGACATATAACATCATGACTCTGGTCAAGATCGGTTTATTATCGCGTTCCCCCGTCGCCGGTAGTTATTTCTGGCGATACGGACCGCAGGGTTTGAACTATTTGAGACTTCCTCGTCCCGAGGGACGAGCATTACCTTTTGGCCCTACTGCTGCAGACTTTTTCCTTCCGCCCGACCCGGATGTTGCTCCTTATTTGGGAGATGCTGAAATCATAGTTGAGAACATGGGAGAGGAGAATCCCGATGTTCATATGGGCGGAGAGTTTGTTGATGAGGAAGGGGGTGAGGATGCTACTGGAGTGCAGCACGATGATTGGCCTCGATGGAGGGCTGATGTGGATGATAGACTAGAGGAGGTGTGCGATGGGATGCACGAGCTGCTTGCATATCAAAGAAGCATGAGTCGGTTTTACACCACTCAGTATCCGCAGTATGAGCCTCCAACTGAGGCGTTCATGGATCATTTGGCATCCCGTGCTTTGCGTCGTTCCGAGAGGCGTGCTTCTCGGGGCGATGCCGGCTCTTCTGGCTCTGGAGGTCCCTCTCATTGAGATGGTAACGATTTTCTTCCTTTTCCCTTACTTTTGGTTTCATTGTAGTTGTTCTTGCATCGAGGACAATGCTTCATTCAAGTAGGGGGGGGGAAGAAATTCTTGCATATATTCTTTGAATTTTGTATAGTTATCTTGATTTCATGTTTTGTATAACTATCTTAATTGTGGTTCAATGAAGCAAGCTTGAAAAAAAAAAAAAACAGAAAAAAGTAAAAAAAAAAAAAAAGAAAGAAAGAAAAAAAGAAAAAGAAACCCGCTAAGTCGAAAACCTGAAAAGGCGGCTTAGGCAAAAATGGGGGCCCGGTTAGGTTGAAAACCCGAAAGGGCGACCTAAGCAAAAAAGTGGCTAATGAGTGGGTGAGAAAGTGAGATTTGGAAAAAGATGAGAGGCTAGGATGAAAACCCGAAAGGGCTCCTAGGCAAAATGAGAGAAAAAAGAGAGAAATGTTCATGAATTTGATTTTTCAAGGAAATTTCGCATCTATTTGCCGGAGTCGGTGTCATAAGGGGAGGAGATATAAGGAGGTGTCGGGGTAGGTTTCATCTTGGTGATTTTGGGAGATAGTTGAGATTTTGGGGGAATTTGTTGATCATCTTAGGAATTTGAGAGCATGAGTTGTTTGTTTTCACTCTTGAATGTGGAAGTGTTTTTATGAGATTTTTGGTTAAGTTGAGTTTTTGTTTGCCCAATTTTATCAAAAATTTCATTTCTTCAGGCGGTTGAGAATATTCATACTCATGGCTATGCGTTTATCGTTCCAAGTTGATTTTGGGGATGAATTGATAAATAAGAAAAAAGGGAGATTCAAAGTGTGAAGTATGGGGGAGTGTGATTGTGATTGGTTGATAAGTACTAGGATGTTTTGTTGAGTTTGAGTGCATAGAGCTAGTTTGATTCCACCATCTTCTGTTTTGAACCTTAGTGAGGAGGATGTGTTTTATTCTCTAAGTTTACTCGAGGGCGAGTAAAGGTTCAAGCATGGGGGAATTTGATAAGCCTTCTTATCATGGGTTGAGAGAAGCATTTTAGGGTGTGTTTTGATGCTTTATATGTACTTTTGTTAGCTTTTGTGAGTTTTGGGCTGTGATCTCACTTATGTGCAAAAGGCGGGATTTATGAGTATAAGTGAGTGAGTGAGCTCGGGAACCAATGAAGAGTTATGTAAGAAGGATGGACCTTGGCTCGTGATTTGAGAGTTGTGATGGAGCATGGAAGAGCAAGGAAGAAAGCTTGAGGAAAAGGTGAAGCAAAGCAAGAAGAAGAAGCAAGGAAAGAAGGCGAAAACAGCAGGAACCGCTGCCAGGGCCGCTGGCAGCTGGCCAGAGCCGCTGGCAGCGGGTATACCAGAGTGAGGGGCTGCCAGAGCAGCTGCCAGCGGGTCTAGAGCAGCTGGCAGCGGCTCTGGCAGAAATTCGGGCTGTTTTGGTTAATTTTCAGCAATTTGGCTTTGTTTTGGCTCGTGTTTTGGATATTATTTTATTATTATTATTGTGTTATGTTATTAAAATATATAAACATATAAATAGCTTAGTTTTAATTAAGTTTTAAAAAAAAGGAGGAGAATGAAGTTTTGAGAAAAAAAAGCTTTCTAGGGTTTTCTTGGAATTTTCAGAATTCTTTGTTTTGGAATTAGAATCCATGGAAGCTTGATCTTCCGGATTCTTGGTTAAAGATTGAAGCTTTTAGCTACGAATTGTGAGATCTTTCTTCTCTTAATATCTATGGAATATATATTGTTCCTTGAATTAATTTCATGATTTGCTTTAATCAATTGCTAGGTTAGAATTATTGGATTCGCTTGCATCTAATTAATCTTTCCAAAGTAGCAACTTTAGGTTATTGATGCATGCTTTTGGTTGATAACTTGAAGAGGGAATAATATTATTGAAGAAATTAGACCGCTTGTGTTAATTTATTCAATCCTTGTTGATTTCTCCGTTTATTTTCTTCTTGTGGATAATTTAGAGCGCTTGTCTTGAATTGTGCATTGGAAAGGGTTAGGAAGGAGCGCTTTGCTATTTCTAACTATTTATGAGAATTTAGAATCTAGGAATTCTACAACAAGGTGTTCAATAGAGCTTGATTGAGGAGACTTCTATGATCAATTTGTATGTTCATTAGTGGATTTCGCATAACCAAGACCGTTCTTCTCATTGATTACCTATTCATTACGTTCGTTGTTCTTACTTAGTTCATTTATCATCATTGCTCGTGAAAACCCCCCTCGTTACTTAGGTTACTACCGTCCTAGAGTATTTCCACTTAGGTTTCCAGTTATTAGTCCCTTTTTCCCTGTGGATTCGAACTCGACTTCCCTAACTACGTTTATTTGCAGTTAGCTTAGTTGTGATATTTTTGGTTGCATACGACTGAGGCACACCAAACAACAACAACAACAACAACAAAAACAAAGGTAACCACGTCAACAACAACAACAACAATCTTAAGGTATGTTTGATATTAAGCAACAACTTAGAAACATGCACCTTAGGATGCAAGGCCTCTTTGAGACCCAACAAGGCATGTTTCTACAACAACAAGCCTTATATGATGCGAGCGTCAACCGACGCGAGGTTACCTCCATGGTCAATTATCCATATTGTCCGCCATAACACGGTCTCGTACCGTCTTAGGGGTGACAACAAGCCCACATACCCCTATTGGTTGGGTCCTCTCGGACCTAATAGGGAGGTACGCTCATTTCCCGATGATTCCAGGCATTATGATTATCGTGTGCCCGGTGGGAGTGACTATAAAGGGGATCCCAACTATCCCCACGTCGATCCTAGTCACCCCGCACCATTACCTATGCCTCCTCAGTTTGATCTGTCGGCCTCTTGGCAAGAGGATCTTTTTCGAGGCCATTATGGATGGCCCCCCGGTTACGGTGGATGGGACCCTCACGGTCCCCCATCTGGCTTTTCATATGAGGAGGATGATGATGAGTCTGTCCCTAGTGGCCACTAGCCCTCCTCCCATAGTCTATTTGGGGGGGTGCCATCATAGCTGATGGTGAGACTTCGTATAAGCACTTGCTTGTTGTGTTTTTACTCTATTTTTGTTGATGATGAGTTATTGTTTCTTTTGGTGGTAATTTGAGATGATATAGGTTTGGTGACTTGTTTTTGCATGAGACTTGTTCGATTTTGCAATCTCTCTTTTTATTTTTCTTTTTCTAACTCTTTTGTATATAGGTTGTTCTTTTTCTTGGTTTTCTTGAGTTTGTTTTGTAGGATGCTCACTTGAAGGATTGGAGCGGGAATCATTCTCCTACTTGGATAAGTCTTTTTTCCACTTTTCTTGCTCTACTCTCCTTTGGTGAGATCCTCCCTTTTCTTTCTTTTTCTTTGGATGCTTTAGGATAGTTTTAGTTTAGAAGAAGTTGAAAGGTTCAAGGTTGTTTGCTTTTAACACCTAGTGTATTTGGGATCGTTGACATTGTGGCTGAACGATCATTGTATGACGATTGGGACGTAATTGTTTATGCTTACTTCCTCTAAACCTTTCACTCTTGGTTTGCTTTTATTTTTCTTTTGGCAACCTAATTCAAGGCAAATTTTGCAAAATGTGTTTTTACTTCTCTCTTTGGTTAGACATTTCACTTTGGACATGTTTTCTTGAATGACTTCCTTCTTAAATGGTACATGTATGCACGGTTTGATAGTGTCGTTGGTTGATTCTAGGATATTGCATGCTAAGGTATCCGGTTTAAGAACTTTCGAGTCCATGAAGCCTTAGTTCACTGCATGTGGTAAGATGGTGTTGCTTTTCATAGTGGATTTGATACCTTTGGGTTAGTTATTGTTAAACACATCCCGTGTAAGGTATTATTGTTCAAGCCTTCATCACTTTTGTCGGGTGGCGCTGGATCCTTGTCTATGCATTTCTTAATCTTTGGTTTGTCTTTTATCTACCCAAGACCGTGACCAAGCCACTTTAGGGGAGGAAAAAGGCTCTTTTCATTTTCTCTTATGTTCTTTTTGTTTTGTTACTCTGTTATTTTTGTTTACATTCACATTCTTGCTACTCTCTTTGAACCTAATCCCATTCTTGGATTTTAGTCATCTTACAAGCCTCATGACCTTTAATTTTCCTTAACCATTAGTTTTGTGAAGCAATTTTTGGTTGGAAGCTTGTTTTTATGATCAAGTGAATCTATGATGGATCGAGTTCAAAAGTGTATAGCTAGTCTGTAACAAGCGTGTATATAGTTGTGTAGCAAGTGAAAAAAAAAATGAAAATAAACGTGAAAAAAAATAATAAAAAAAGATCCAAAAAAAATATTTGAAAACCAAAGAAAATCAACAAAAATATTTTAGTTGTGATCGTTTTCCTAGTTTAAGCATTGAGGACAATGCTTCATTTAAGCTAAGGGGAGCGTTCCTACGCCTTTATATTTAACTTTTGTGTGTTTGTTGAATAAACTTAGGGGAGACAGTATTTTTGTTTAAAGTTTTGGTGATTTCTTGAGTTAGTTTTTGAGAGACGGCCGCTCTTTTGCTTAAACTAGGAAATACCACCAAAATTTTCAAATTTTTACCCCACCTAAACCCTAAGCCAGGAGTTACAACCTAATAAAGTCCTTTAGACCCTAGAGTGTTAAGTCTAAAACCGGTGGAGGGAGATAGTTTTCAAGCCTATAAAGAGAGATGTGCATAGCTAAGATGTCGGGATAACCTTCTCACGCTTTTCATTTCTTTATATTTTTCCGGTTCCTATGAGGAATCATGAGAAGCTAACTCAGGGGTTGATTTGAAGCTAGTAGAGAGAACGCGGTTAGAATGGTTTGGAAAAAGGTGGATTGAGTTTCCTATAGTTTTATATGCTTAGCATGCTTTATGTTTCAATTAACCATTGACATCTTATAGCGTGCATACATTTGTTGTTTAAGAAGTCTCTCATTCATTGGCATTTGTTTCCTCTACCATTGTCCAACTCAAGAGCTCTCATGTGTTTTGTTTTCTTGTTTTGATTGCTTTGCCTTGATTTTGGTTGC